GTGATGGAAATCGGGGAGAGTTCGGCGACGCGAAAAGTGTCCGTCGAAGATTTTCCTCGGATTTCTCGCCGCGAAACAGGTCGTTCTTTTATCGCGAGACTCTATTCAGAAGTCTCTAGCTATACTACAACGAGGAGGAGAGACGGAGACTGCTTTCCAATCTTTAATTGTTAATTTTACTCGAGAACGTCTGGATACAAGATTTCAAAATAACATATGGATGCAAGATTTTGCACATTTTTCCGAGTATTTTCTTACAGATTGTTTAGGTTTCGAGTAACGAAATTCGAAACTGCCCAGCATCTTTTTCGCTGTCCGAAGCTTCATACTCGGTCATTGCCCTCTTCGCGAATCAGACGGTATTCAAGCTGTAACAATTGATGATGGAAATTACAATTGTCCGGGGGTGAGGGGGAGGGGAAGGGAGGATCACGAGAGTTCGGACCACGTGTAACTAATTACCGAGCCTGTAAAAATTCGAAGTGGGGAGACGCATCAAACGGGAAGATCGCAATTGTCGCCGACCGACAATTGGCTTATTACGCGTATTACGGAGAAAAGAAAAAAAGAAAAGGAGGACGTATACGAGTAGGTTAATCATCCCCTCGGATATGCATATACCTGAGAGGCGCGGTATTGCTGTATAATAAACGCCGTTTCGCCAACGGAAGATTTACATAAGTCGCCTGTTCCTCGCAACAATGGCGCATTCTATCGCAAACGTCGTCGCCCTCGCTATTGCAAATAGTCGGGGTCCACAATTCCTCGCACGTACCAATAAGTGCATCCAACATTCTTCTTCCTTAATGAATTCGCGGCGATCGGCTTAACCGGCGCTCTCTATGTACCAATAGAATTTGCGAGAGATGCACGTAGAGAAACACGCGGTGCGCTTTCTGATCACGTATGTCACCTTGCAACACGCAGAGGTTGTTGATCTTTCACTTAATATATAGTAATATATAGTGACTAATTGATATCAATCTCGTAATATTGTACATTAAATGGACATTGACGTTTGTGTAACATTGCTACCTGATAGTTTTATATCGTAAATACGAAAAAATAAAATACAATTATAGATAGTATAAAATAAAATATATCAACGACAGATATCATAAATGAAATAAGATATTTCCTTGAATCAAAGGTCAATTAAATTGATTTCTTTTGTTCGTTGTGTGTATGTGTGTGTGTATGTACATATATAAAACATATATGTATAAAGCACACCATCAGACTTTCTTATTTCGGTACGATTTTTCTTCAAAAAAAGCTTTAATTAAAATGATATTAAAATAAATTATATCTGAAATTAACTGAAAAATGTAGTTTTGTTAATATTTTAACTCCACAAAGTTTAGTTTACGAGAAGCTCTTTTCTTTCAATTATTTATAACTTCAAGATTATTATTAGTGTCTCGACATTTTTATTGAAAAAAAATAATCTCCAAATTGGCCAGAGAATTCGATAGTATACTCCGTATACGCTTTTTTCAGTTACACCCTGTATAATTAAAATTTCGTTTCATTATTTACAGTGTTGTGCTTAGATAATTGTACAATTAGCTAGATAAAGATGAGATAAAAATATGTAAATTTATCTTCGATAAAATAAAGATGATTTTGTTTTAAATATATTTAGAATTTCTAGATAATATTTTTACCATTTATATAAACACAGATATAAAAAAATGTAAATTATAAAAGAGATAGGAAAATATATTCATACTTTTATTTATAAATTTGTATCGCTACTAAATTTTACTATTCAAGTATTATTATGTGCTATGACTCTAAACCAAATTATCTGAACATTATTCTAGACAATCATTAAAGATAACATTTTTTTTAAAGATATCTATATAAAGATAAGATGATGTCAAAATTTCATCTAGATAATCGCATCTATATAATTTTATTTAAATGACCAAACACTGATTATTTAATTAAATTTGACCCAACATTTTACATACAAATGTAGATCCGAGATCTGATAGAAATCCTACTGGCATTTCCTGATTTCCTCGTGCGCGATATCGATGAAGCAATTTCCCAACAACACCTTCGAGCAAAAGGGGGAGAGAGGCAGCGGCACACTAGAACGTGCACTATATACGTGTAAGAGCTGCGGCTCTTACGCATTGCATGAGTGCGAAAGAAGGTGACGCGGCCCAGGTAGGAGGTAGGGTGGGACACACATCTGGAATGTAAGGTAAGGTAAGCGGCATCCCGGGCAATGCCCTCACATGTAAACAATCAGAAATTGCAGCCCCGGTTTCTCGCGCGGCGAGTAAGCGGCATGTCGCTGCCGCACGTGTGTTCGCATTTACGTTTACGCGTTTTACGATCGATGCCTGCTGTATATATATACACGAATACATACATATACGTGTATGACTCGCATACCAGACCGCTCATTTATCGCGCTGCACTCATTATCCGCTGCAGCCATGCACTTCGCTCCGGTCGTATAATACTCTTGCTCGATCACGCGAGTTTATAATTGAAGGGTATCGTACTGCGGTGAACAATTACCGAAAGGTGGACACAATGTTTTTTTTTTTTAAACGCTATTCCTGGCTATTCTTGGGAAAAAACGCTTCCGCAATAGTTTAGAGATTTCCTTTTGCTCTAAATTCTTAAGAGTTTGGAGCAAAATTAAGGTTCGACTTTTTCGTGTTTCAATGAAAAATGGCCCAGTACTTTTTGCTATAAAGAAATTTCATCGACACCATTTGATTTTGTCTCCTTAATTTAATTTTTAATTGACAGAAAGATATATAATTATTTTGAGAAACGCTTAGTTCAATACTTCTGATGATAAAAAAAAAGTCCAATAACCCTCTTACGCTCTCCGTTTGTACTCGTCTCTTGAGAGTGAAAAACTGTTATGCAAACATCATTTGTCAAGCAAAGCGGCACACAATGCGGCACATCTTGCTATATTTGCGAATAAAGTCTGCTTGCGCTCGTTTGAGCTTTTCAATTACGACGAGGTATCCGTTTAAAATTAATGATGCGAGAATTGTTCGTATATTATTAACAGAATTGTGTGAATTCTAAGAATGATTAATCGTTGATAATACAATTATAGCACAAAACTCAATATTAATTGATTGTAGCAACTGATTCCGTTTACGGAGCACGCATAATAAATATGGTATAAATATAAGTATGCATATTTCTTCTATTTTTTCAAAATAATATTTAAATTTGTAATGATTGAAGAGAGAAAGAGAACAGTATATTATAGAATGCTTGCCAATGTTGTGCATCAGCTTTGAGAGGGAGTGAAAAGATTTATTGCAAAAAAATTACAGTGTATGTGTGTGTGTGTGAGAGAGAGAGAGAGAGAGAGAGAGAGAGAGATGCATGCATGCATGCTGAGCGCGGTTATGCTTAGACGGGTATTTAACCTACAGCCGAAAGATTTACTACCTCTCACTCGAGAGCTCTAGTTCTCGGAGTCTCACGTATTAAGGACCTTCGGTCGTTGCACTCGTTCGATATGTTGACGATAAATGGAAAAGCGTCTCATTACGCGATCGAAATATTTCACAACTAATACGAATTACGTATTCAACCAGGGCAGTTATTATATATATCTATAGTCAAAAACGGTTTCGGAAAATTTTGTGTCTTGTCATTTTTCTACTAACATATTGAAATTTAATCTGAAGTCTAATCTAGTAATTTTAGTAATGTAATGTAATTATAGAACCAACTTAAAGAGAGATATACATGTCAATTTATCAGTCTGGCACTTCTACTTTTATGTAAATACAGCTGTGCATTATTGTATTAACATTAAATGCTATAGATTGCTTGTCATGCACGATTGTCATTACAGAGTCGATAGAGAGGTCTGGACATATTTGTCATAAATTCTCGACAGCCAGTTTTCTCTATTTTCTATTTTTCCACTCACTCTGGAGCGTAACAATTTAACATTGAAACTTCAAAGCAAAAGCAGAACCAACTAAAGAGAGATAACATGTCAATTTATCAACTTCTACTTTTATGTAAATACATGCATTATTGTATTTTAACATTAAATCTATAGATTGCTTGTCATGCACGATGTCATTACAGAGTCGATAGAGAGGTCTGGACATATTTGTCATAAATTTCGACAGCCAGTTTTCTCTATTTCTATTTTTCCACTCATCTGGTCAAAGACTAACATTGTGAAAGACACTTCAAAAGCAGTTACCAAATTTATTGATATCTGAGAGTATGTAACCTAACCATTGTGTCTTATATCTTATGGGCTTGAAGCTGAGAAAATCTAGCTTGTTATCTGATGCTTGTTAAGTCGAACTCACGAAACTATGTGCAATTACGTGCTGAAACGAGCGTCCCATAAATTCGCACCTTCGAATTTGAGGGAAAAAGACAGTTAAGTCTACAAGTTCTTCAATTGATTTTATATAAATTGTTATGTGTACATTTACATGTAATGAATATTTACCGTAATTATATTACTAATTAATTTTCTATTTCATAAACAACGTCTCGAGAAATTGCATCAATGAAGATTGCTTTCTCGTTATGTAGTTTGTGAAACGTCATTGCATTTCTTTCTCATTGTAATATAATTATTTAGATTCTTTTCTTCAATTTTGTGGAATAAAAAAGCAACAAGCAGAGACTAGGTCAATCTCAGTCTTAATTCACCTCTGTGCTCCATCGCGCACAAAGTTGCAGACTGCATCTCTTCCGGCACCGAACCGCGTATGTGGGTCAGAGTGGGACCTGGTAAATGTACCGGTACCCGCTATAGTTCACACAATAATCTCGTACCGTATTCTTAAACAGTTGACATTGTCGACTTAAATCTGCCCACGCGCGGCACGCCCTTTTATGCGCCCGCGAGATTTATCACCGTCATCCCATATACATACATATGTATATAAATATATGTGTGTGTGTGTGTGTGTGTGTTAATAATATACAATATGTATATATTTTATATATTTTTTTTTATTTTCTTCAAGATGCATCTTTATCGAGAACGATCTGCACTATCTGTGTTTGGAAAAGACTCCCGTGGGAACAAAGAATTTTATATGAAGAAGGATACAAGAAAAGAAAAGATACAAGGAAAATAGACGGGGTTTCTTTTATGTTCCGCCTCATTAATCTAAAAGAAAAGGACACAAATTTTTTTTATTAATGCTTCACTTTATGCGGACTTATATTCTATTATAATAACTATGAACTGCATTACTTGAAAAGGACCCAAAGTGAGGGTTGAAACATTGTAAGAAGATCAATAAATTGCCAGTTGGTCGACACATATTCCTCATTTATTTATCGTTATTAACTTACATTCAATCCTCCTCTCGTAATCCCAACTACGCACAATATTAAGACAGGCCTAACAAATTTGAATAAACTAATTTTATAAAAATAATTAAGAATTAAATTTAGAAAAATATAAAAAATACATATATATAAAACTATAAAAGTTCTGAATAATCATTGTTAAAAAATGTCCAAAATCATTTTTTATCTGCGAGTAAATGACAAGATCTGTCGAACAGAGTAAAAGAATAAAAGTAGAGAAGGTCCTCTCACGAGGATTCAGCACAGAAGCCAACAGGTTTCATTTCTAACGGCTACTAACGGATCAAATTTTTGGGGATCCGTTATCTCTTACTGGTCAGACACTTCGTCCGTTAGAAATCGAGTCGACACCGATAATTTTGTTGCACGCCATTTATTGTACCTTTGTCATTGATAATGACCCGCATCACATTCACATTCCTGCAAGTCACTGTCGCAACATTCGTTTGAAATGAATCTTCGACCCTAAAACTCGTCTTATCTCCCTAAAGCGCTCGCTCCGCTAAATTGTTAACAAATGAATTAAAATTCGACAGTTTTATTTTATTTTATTGAAAATTATTTTATTTTAGTGAAAAAGTGCAAAATTATTTATCAAACGTAGAATTTTTAACAGTCGAATTTTTTAACAATATAATTGTAGGTAATAGCTTATTTAATTATCATTTTCAAAGCATTTTTATGTATAAAGCTAGACAAATTATCTCGCATTAAGTATCAATACATTTATTTGTCTGTTGTTGGTATGTATTCGTGTGTATATTTTCGGTCGCGTTCAACGTACGATAATATAAATCAGTTTATCAAATTCGATGAAAAGGTGAACGACATTGCCTGAAACTCAAGTCATCATTAAAAGTCTAATCAGTCATTCGCACTTGCCAGCCAAAATCTCTACGAGATTTCATCTTGATAGTATATACACAAGTCATTGTACAATATTTCTGTTCATATTTATCTCTGAATCATTCATTCGAAATGTTATGTTTTCAAGCAATTTTCGAGTGTTGCAAGCATTGACGCATTCGAACAGGTTTTGTTTATTGAATAAATTTCGTGAGGTTATCATGCACTTACCTTTTCGATCGACATGCAATAACTGTTTAAGTGAGAGCAATATATGTACGATAATCCGATGACCGGGATCATTTTTTCAAGTTTTATAACGAGGTATAATGCAATAACGATTTATCAGTTGTTTAAGGATGTATGGTTCGATGATATGAACTGGACCATGTTACACAATATTGAGTTTGACGCTTACCGATAAAATATAAAGAAAGATGATTTTAAATTATAACTGTGAGAAAAAGATGTTTCTCCTCATTTTTAACCAAAGTAAATAGATTTATATAGATAGATATACTTATGTCATTTAATTAAATTGTAGACACCCTTGATTTGCTCGTTTTGGACATTATATATATTTTAATATTTGCGTTGCATGACACGAGCCTTATATAAGTTTTTATTTACTGATTAGATAGACATATTTATAGAGATAAAAAAATTTATTATTTATTATTTAATATTTATTAGAGGTTACTGTTTACTATATTATTATATATTAGACATTAATTTCACGCTTTAAGATATACATATGTATGCAAAACATATATATTTTTTAACATAATAACTAATTTCATTGGATATTTAATATCTAGCTATCTTATATATTAAATATAAAAAGTTGTACAGTAGTAACACACGTAACGATCTTGTATCAAGTCTCTATTGAAAAAAATTGTATCCTAAATTTATTTAAATATTGTAAGATTTAATGCATTAAAGATATTGAACGATCGATCATACGTAAAATAATTAAATCATGTTTTCCTTGTACGTTTCGTACAAGAAACATTGCAAAATTTATTGTTAAAATTATATCCCCGTTGATAGGGTGCCAAAGTATCGTACATTGCACTTTGTCGCGAGTGCAGATCCTGATAATCGCCAATTAAGATTAGTGACGTGAATGGTGAAATTTTAAAGAGAAACATGTGCGATGTAAAGAGTGTAATTTTTCCGTGATTTGTTAATAAACAAAATTGAAGCAGATTTAATCGAAACAGGGTTAAACCGCTGAAAACTTATTGCGAAAAGGTCATCGCGTTTAAGAAACAATGAGATTATTATATATCAAGAGAGAGGTAAATTAGATGTTGCGTAGAATCGAAATGCTTTTACAAACACAGAAAATAATTTATATGTATCTTATTGTATATTGCAGGTACTGATAATACACGTAAGTGTAAAGCGTAAGTATGCGTTTATCAAATGTTCTTTATTAAAATAATTATTATTATAATGGGTACAACGTTCTCTTTATTATGTCTTATCTACATATCTTTATCGCATTTTTAAGAATATGAGCAGTAATTCATTACGAATTTGGAAAAGTTTATTGACACTTTAATCGATCAAGAAAACAATTTACGATCTTTTCACCAGAAAAGTATTAAAGTCCATTTATTCATATTGAACAATATCAAAGTTTAATATTCTAATGTGCGATTAAGTAAGATTTGAAATTTTCTAAAAGTGTTTTCTAAAACTGTCGAACAAATTATCTTAATCAATGTTTTCGTCAATATAAATCATAATTTATATATTTTTATATGCAAAATATATCATCAGTAACAAATATAAGTAAAGCGTTTATTATAATAATAGAAAATATTTTATATTTATTTTAATGAAATAATGTATCATATTATTTTGACCATTGTGTTAAAGTCACTTTAGAAGTTCAGAAAGACGGTGAAAATAAAAAACTTATACTTTCTATGAAAATTATATAAACACGTGCAAAATAATAGGCGTTAAGCAGACAAGTTGTGGAACTTAATCGATTTGATCGTGGGAAAAAAATTCAAATAAATCAAACACACGCGCAAGGCTGTTGTGATGAAGGTCACTGCGATCAATGATCTTTTCGCGAAATGAATTAGCGAGCGCCTCGATCATCGACTTATCGTCAATCATAAGCGGCATCTTGCTTTGATCGTGTTTTGATACACGTGCCTAGATTGTTGCTTATCTCAATGCTTATCCTCATCTTTTTCAAAGCCGCTCAAAAGATAAGAAAGGAAAAGCTTTTTCAACCAGGATGTAATTATTCACATTCTACGATGGAATTTTACCACAATCGCTCTTTTTTAACAATAAGACTAACAAACTTCCTTATATTATCGAGTATACTTAAGAGTGCATTATCGTTGAATAGATTTTTTTAAGTATAACCTCGCCCAGATTTTAAGTAAAACCTCTATTCAATTGTGAATATGAAGAATTTTAGAATTTCTCTTTAGAAATCTTCTGAAGAAAAAAAATATTTCTCAGCACCGAAAAATCTTTGTTCTAATCGACTTGAAAAAAAAACCTCTATGCAACACGGGCGCAAAATCGCGCGTCAAAAACCAAAGAAGAAAACGAGGAAATCTCCTCCCACCTTTGCCATCCATCGGATTGACGTCGCGCATACGAATCGCGGCGCGATCGCGCGGAATTTCGATCGCCGCACGGTCGTGTGCACATCCCGTAGAAAGTTCACGTACGTACGTACGTAGTTTTCCTCCGTAAAGGAAGCATATTTTCCTCGTGACTCGCCTCTTCGTGGCAATCCTCGCCTCGAGGGAAGAGAGACCGGGAGACGGCGGATATATTGCGAGCACGTGTACTACGTGCTCCTACGTGCGTTATCGTCGAGATGACCACCGTTACCGCGTCACTGTACGCGTCACTGACCATCGCCAATGGTCGATGACCTCTCGACCATTCCCGAAATTATTTCACTTTGCTACGGTGCATCTCGGACCATTGGTATTATCCCTTCCTTCTGAGAGTCTACGTCACTTTTCCGACGACACCAATCTTCTCAACCCAACGGCAGATTGGTTTGTCGGAAAACATGACGTATTAGACTCTCGCCTCTGTCCTAGAGATTCAAACGAGATATAACAGAATGACACGCGTAACGAATGTTTGGGAGTCCTTCGAATGATAAAAGAATCGTTCCGCCAAATGATAAAAGATTACGTGATACGGTGCAGAACTATTAAACTAATGTTTTCTCACGCAAAAATGTTTGACTAAAAAGATTGATGCAACTGTCTTCAATATTAAATAAATATATAGGTATATCTTACAGACATACGCGTGAACATTAACAATTTATGGTAAGAATTAACTAGAATAATCTCAGACAAGACTCTTTAAGCTAGACTATGTATAAAATATAAATATCTTTTATATTTATTTAATATCAAAAATTTAAACAGTTAATTAAATCATTTCTTTTCATATTATATAAAATACTTCAAGTAACATTTAAGATAAAATAACATTATGAACATTGGATTTTCCATCACTTATCAATATCTTTTAATAAGTTATGGTGATATATAAGCACTTGTCGACATTTTGCATTGTATTAAAATTATATACATGTTTATGAATATTGAATGGCGTGAATATAAGAATTCGCGATCGAGGAATTTTTCGATAGATGATTCATCGAATAAAATCCAAACTTCAGCTCAAAAAAAAAAAGAAAAAATTTGTCACAACAAAATATAAAGAACAATAAGAATTATGAGATAAATATACATTCAGACAAATATGCATTAAGATTATAAAATTCTCTGATTTAGTTTCTCTATTAATTTTATGTTCTTTTCTCAAATAATATCTTTAAATACATTTAAATAAAATTATGATATTGTTGTGATTAAAATCTATCATACCACGAGATATATTAACTCGCTTTCCGCGATCATAACTTTTAAAGCTTTGAAAATTCCGAGACGCAAGGCATATAAACATTGTTTTTTTTTTAATAAAATTGTTAAACAGTTGCCTGTTATCTACGTCATTATATTTATGCAAGAAAATATGCTTGCATCGACAATCATTTCCTCGTTCCTCGCACGTGGCGCATTCATTATCTGTCA